CACACACACACACACACACACACACACACACACACACACACAGGTAGCCATCTTGGATTTTGACTTAACACACTTTTTTAGTGACCTTTCTTACACCTACCGTAGATGCAGCCACACACCAACATGGAAGTCGGCAAGTTGCTTATTTCTCCAGATAATTTTCAGTTCACAAGACGGACAGACATTTATGGTGGCAGCCATCTTGGATTTTAACGTGGCATGCTTACAACATGCACAGACGAAGGACATCTCCAATTCCCCCTCTTCGCTCAGCGACGGGGGACAATAAATCTGTTCCGACTTGTTTTCAGATTAAAGCTAATTACTCATGTAATGCATGTTATAATTTTAGTTTTTAAATCTGTAACGCGTTATTTTTGGTCAAGGACGTCAGAATCTCATACCAGACATGCCTGCTTGTAACAGTAATCTAGATCCCTGCAATCTAAAGTGTATTGGGACAAACTTCACATGGAAGAACCGGAGCAACAGACATCCTGTAGCTGCTCTCGTAAACCGTACCTGTCTATAAGCAAGGTAAGAAGCTCCTGGGGTTTGCAGAATGATCGGTACGTGGTAAGAAATGTGCGCACAAAGTTGGGATCTACAAAAAAAACAAAGTATTAGCTAAATAAACACTTAAAATGCATTATAAAATAAATCCCTAAAAAAAAAAACATCTATTTTTGTACAAGTGCTACTTACCAGCGTACATGTGATAGGTGAGCCTCTCTATGAGCTTGACCACCGTGCCAGCCTTGATGATGGGGATACCAGTTTTGCTCTGCACTTTGTCCTCAAACACTATATTCTCTCCAGAGTCTTGCTCAGCAAACTGGTAAAACTCTGGGGACGGCAGCCTCAGAGGATGCTCCTGTTCTTCAGTTAGCAGCACCGTGTCCAACATACGATCCAACGTGGAACGGTACTGAAGAGTCACCAGTGCTGCCATCCAAAGAGCTTTGTCGTCTGATGTCCGTGCACAAAAAATTGAGCTGCTTTCATCTTTGCCTATTAGTTCAAAAGCATTTTGCAGCTCCACCGTGTCTCCGCGGTCCACAACACGAATCTTTCTCAGCACAAACTTCTCCTTGAGGCGGTACTCTGCGCCGCTACCGGACCCCGGGAGCCGTGAACTTTGGTTGGCCTTACAGCTGATCATGAGGCCATCAAACAGGAAGATGTGTCTCTCATGTTTAGCGCCGGCTCGAAACAGCGGCCCCTCAAGAATGAACTCACTGCAACACTGACCAATGTCTTTCCCCTCCCAGCCGTCGATGCTTTTCTGGACCTCCGTCATGCGCTTGACGGCTTGTTGTTTGCTGCGAACCTGCCGGCTGTACAAGCGGTATATAGGGTCACTATAAGGGAGGAGTGGAGATCAACAGGAAGAGCAAAGCCTCTTTAGTGCTGAAACTTCAGTTTAACGAAGAGAAAACAGCACAACGTTATTTCCTGTAGTACCTTGCAAAGACGCGACGAATATGGTATTTAGCAAGTATTCGCTCCATGCTACTCTGAAGGTTTAGCAAGGCGGTAAGAGCCTGCTTCAGACATTCTCTGTCATCCTGGTCGGCACTGCGCTCTTGAAGTTGCTGCAAAAACAAACACACACACACACACAAAAAAAACATGCAGCTTCATATGATGTGACAACTTGACAGCCGTACACCGATGTCCCCGTCACGGAGGGATTTGAACAATGATGTTTGTGGTTTTCGAGATGAATGTTTTTCTGGGTTAAAATTGAACAGGGAATCAAAGTAAACCTAAATGTTTTTGGAGCGAGATATTCAAGTGCAGTGTTTCCCCTACCATTATACAAGCAGGGCACCCCGCCCTGTCAACAGAACCGAGCGCCCTGCCTACCTACTTTATCCACCAGCAGGCGCAGTGGTGCAGCCAGTGGGTGGCCAATGGTGGCCTGGGTCACCATAGATCACATGTCAAACTCAAGGCCCGGGGGCCAAATGTGGCCCTCGTTGACATTTAATCTGGCCCCCAAGATGTTATTTTAAAAGTAAAATACTTTTTTCACTTGATTTTCTTTAGTCATCTTTGATTATGATGTCAAATGAGACCAATCAAACACTTTTTGAGGAACCTGCAACCAAGAAAAGATGTTGGGCATCTTAAGTTAATGTAGATTATGAAACTGGCCCTTAGTTTGGAAAAGGTTTTAATTTTGGCCCCTTTTGTAAGAGTTTGACATCCCTGCCTTAGATTAATCTTTGGCCACTCCAGTCATGTGAAGAAACTACTAGAAAGCAACATAAAACTAGAAAGCAGTTTCTTCAAATTATTGGGGTGGCCAGTTTACAAATATATATGGTGGCGGCCATCTTGGATTTTGACGTGGCAACCCATCTTTTGAAAGGAAACTTTCTGATGCCTAGATGTAACCACACACGAGCAGAGGGCATTTCCAATTCAAACATACCAGCAGGTACTTTACAATAATAAATACTGCCTTGCACACCAAACACAACCAAACAATTTTTTTGTTCAGTTATTAGTTATTACATGAACTCTCCAGGACAGGATTATTAAAATCAATCGATCTAATCCAGTGGATTATTTTCTGAGTGAAATAATAGAAACACTTGAGGTATTTGGAAATCATGAAACAATGTGATGCAGCTTTTCTACTTGCAGAGGTGCACCCGTTTGTCAGTTGTCTAATAAACGTAAGCCATTTCTTGTTTTCCCCGTGCGTCTGGCAACAGATCAAGCTTCTTTACTGCAGTAGTGAGGAAACTTCACCTGTAAACCAGGTGCTCCATCCGTCTCTTATTCGCAGCCTTTGTGGGGAGCATGTTCATTCACCACCGAAAGGAAAGATGAAAATGTTCTAGTGCAGGATCCACATCTGTACTATTGAAAGTTAAGTGAATTTCATTCCCTGCCAAGTTGGATAGAAAAGCTTGTTCATTAAAACTTAGAAATTTTTCTCAACCACCAACCGAGAGAGTTCTTTTCCTGCAAGTGTTTCTAATGCATCTGATCGGACAATGGTCCCTGAAACAGGATCAAAACCTCCTGAGGCAGACATTTTATCCATGTGATAGAATCAAGTCAGGGTAGACTTGGCAGGGTCCTGATTATCTGTGTAAGGAAGAAAAGATTGCCACATGCCTCTTTTAGATGATCGGATGCATTACAAAACCAGTTAAGATTAAAATCCCCTTGGACGAGCGTCTCTGAAGCAGTGGTGCAATAAAAGCTCTCTCTAAATACCCGAGATGAATCTTTAAGTTGCTTTCTGACCTGTTGAAAACTTAAATGTATTCAAGTCTGGGAACATACCTGCAGGAGCTCAAAGTAGTGCATACAGTGGTACACTGGAGCCTTCATCAGCTGGGGGAGGACATACTGGACAAACTCTTTAAAGCCCTCTGCAACCAACTGGAAACAGAAACAGATGTTGAGTGACACGAGCACGATAGATTTATAAACTTTGTGTTGGAAAAAAAACTTCATACACTTAAAACACCTAAAATCCATCAAGGAAAACTGGAGGGAGTTCATTAATCCCCTTCTCCTCTGTATCTACCAAGGTTGAGTCGGGTGCTCTGGACTGGTTTGACTTCTTCAGTAGTTGTTGTTAATTCACAACACTATCACCTACAAGCTGTACACAGATGTCCACCATCGCTGAGGGACTTGAGTTGCGTTTAACTTTAATATTTATGTAGATGAACAGATGCTGGGATATATTCATCATTTAACGCGGGTTCCTCATTTTTCTGGACTGAATAAAACGTGCATTGAATTTAAGGAAATGCAACGTGAGACGTCATTTATATTTGACCCATCAAAATGAATGCGGTCATTTATTTACAGAATCAAATTTAACATCAAACATTTACATTAATTTGGCAAATTATGAAAATAACAACAAAGCAATCACTCAGGAAAAATCATACGGCCATGATTTTTCCGTTGCTGCACCACAGGCATTTATAAAACTGTACAACTATGATCTTTTACCCACACGGATGTGAATAAGCACTTTACACAGACATTTCTAAATATCTGGAAGAATTTCTACTTGATAGAAAAGTTTAGAGATGAAAGAAGTTTAGAGGGAGTTAAGATGGTATGGGAGGGGAAGAATGTTCACCAGAATTGACACTCTCCATCAGAACTCAGCTCTCCATCGGTACGCTTGGTAGGAAACTTGATCCATTACCTTTCTGAAGATTCATCAGCAGATATGGAGTTCCGTTAACGCTACCTGTCCAGCGTCTCCTGATTGTGGCTGTAGCTCGTCAGAAGTAGTGGCTAGTGATAGTTATAATCCCATGGAACTCGGAAGAGCTTTTGTCATGTCAGGATCATCCTGTCTCCGACAGAACTCGAGCAGAACCAGCAGAAAACTCTCCAGCAGAAAACTCCCACCGAACTCTAGCAACTACTGAACTCCAGAACTCTTAGAACTCCAGAACTCTTAGAACTCTTAGAACTCTTAGAACTCTTAGAACTCCGAGAACTCTGAGTAGATCAGGAAGTACTGACATTTTAAAGACTCTTTCCCGGTTCACTTTTGGGAGTTGTTCATTGGTCAGAAACGACCAGACGGGGTGTGTTTTGTGACGTAAGAGGTTAGAGACAGCGAGAATTGTTATGAGACAGATCAGAAATGTTCTCACAGACAGAGAGAGTTTTGTTTTGGCGTGTTTCAGAAACAGGTGCAAAACATCTATATTTACGTCTGAGAGGATTCTAAAACATGACAGTTTTAACACAACAACTTGTTTTTCGTTTGACTCCAACCTTGGAAACGCACACACTTGCTCATTCAAAGGCAGAAATCAGAAAATGCATAAACTCTGTAACAGCTTTTAACATGAGTTCTAACTTTGCATGAGAATAAAAATCATTACTCAGTTAATAAAATTGATTAGTTCACTGCAACATCTAAAATGGTTTGAACTAAGACACTTTGATTATCAACATTTGTAAAATAGTAATGATAATAAAAAAGAGAGTGTTCTTTTCACTTGAATCTTCAAGAGAGAAAGTCTCAGGATGGGTGAACCTGTATTTATGGATTCAAATACATGAAATGACAGCTTCTGTCCCACAAGGTTCTTAAGGTCAAGAGTTTTGACCTTAGACTTAGTTTTGACGTAGGCCTAGTCCACTACATTTACATTCACCTGCTCTAACCACACAGCCACAGCTGGTTTACATATACGTATGGTGGCAACCCAACTGTTGATTGTGACCTTTCTTACGGCGGCTGTGGCTGAGTGGTTAGAGCAGAAGTCCTACAACGCAAGAGTTGGGGGTTCGAATCCACCAGCAGTCACATGCCGATGTGTCCCTGGGCAAGACACTGAACCCCTCGTTGCCTCTGATGTGTGTCCCATCGGTGCATGAATGTGATGAATCACTGATTAGTCTCTTTAGAATGATTTGTTCAATTAGCTTGGTAGAGATCTAGTAGAGTGCTGTATGAATGGATAAATGAGGCTCAGATCGTAGAGTAAAGAGCTTTGAGTGTCTCCATAAGATAGAAAGGAGCTATACAAGTTCAGTCCATTTACCATTATGCCTAGATGTAGCCACAAACCAAAATGGAAATCAGTACGTTGCTTATTTTCCAAATGATCCTGTTCATAATGTTAACATATATACACAAATGGCAGCAGCCATCTTGGATGTTGATGCAGCAACTCAGTTTTTGATAGTGGCCTTAAAGTCAGTAGTGCAAGCTTCCACACAGCAAAGTGGAAGACGGTACTTCACTTATTTTTCAAGTTATCTTGCTCATATTATGCACAGAGGGCGTTTTCAATTCCCTCTTTTTGCCTGGTGACGAGAAACAATAAACTATAAACAAGACAACAGTTTGCCTGCTGACCAATGCACAAGCAGCATGTGCAGAAGATGGATTGTGTTCCTGTGAGTGAGCGTGGACTCTGTGGAGTCTTGTAGTGCTTTACCTGGCAACAAAACAGACTGAAAAATCAACAAACATCTTCAACGGATGCCAAACTGAGCTCCACCGAGCCTTTCAACACTGTTCGTGTGAGGAATGTCCAAATTAAACAGCAGCAGTGAATGAAGTGCACGCAGGACGCTGCACGTGTCATGACGTGCCCAAAAAACATTAGAGAAGTTCCACCTGGCACCCAGGTTCACTTCAAAACCATCTGAACACATTAACACGGAATACTAGGTGTGACCAGTACTCACTCCTTCAGATTAAAACGGTCGTATTTTGTGGATTTTTATGTTCTAGAGAAGAATTCCTGAACAGCTGATCGCACAGCTGATCGCACAGCTGATCATACCACTGATCACTGATCATACAGCTGATTGTTGATCGCACAGCTGATCGCACAGCTGATCATACAGCTGATTGTTGATCGTCGCACAGCT